TTTGAGACAGAGTCTCAATACATAGTTTAGGCTGGTCTGAAATGCATGATAATTCTCCTGCCTTGGCCTTCCAAGTGCTGGAATTACAAGCATGTGCTACAAATCCCAGTTTGTTCCTCTGATCTTAAACACCAGGGACAACAGCTTAGTCCCTAAAGACACAGGTATTGTCACAGATAGATGTAACAGCTGCAAGCTGCCATGTGGAATGAGATCTGCCAGGGAGCCAAGAACTTGTTAGAATTTTTTTTTTTAATGTATTTAGTACAGGGTCTCACTACACAGATCAGACTCATAGTGATCCTCCTGTTTTCAGCCTCCCAAGCTCTGGGATTACAAGCACGTGCCACAACACCTAGTCTCAGTATGCCCTGGGGCGAGGCTGGCATGGCATGCCAGGGATTGAACCCCGGTCCTTAAGCTTGCCTAAGCAGGCACTTTAGTCCTCTGAGCTATCTGGCCGACCCTTGTTAGAATTTCTTAGGGCAGATACTCATGTCTTTCCCTCCAGAAAAGAGCCCCAGGAAGGCTGTCGGTCACCAGCCCTCTGCCTTGAAGACAGGAAGTGGGACATAAGACAACAGGTGCTCAACCTCTCCAGAATCAGTTCGTCATTTTCCCAACCTGACTCTAGCCCAATTCTGCCAATTCCAGCTAATTTTACTTCTTTTTTTTCAGGATATTTTGTGTTTCTACTAGGTAGGTAGGAGTAAAAAACAAAATTAAAAAAGCTTAATATTAATTCTCAGCCCAGCCAGATAGCTCAGCGGATTAAAGCACCTGTGTAGGCAGATACAGGGGTCAGAGGTTTGATCCCCTGCCTGCCCCCCCAGGGTGTGCTAAGACAGCAATTGAGACTGGGCATGGTGGCGCACGCCTGTAATCCCAGCACTTGGGATGCTGAAAACAGAAGAATCACTATGAGTCTGATCTGTGTAGTGAGACCCTGTACTAAATACAAAAAAAAAAAAAAAAATTAATTCTCAAGGGCCGGGGAGATGGCTCAGTGGAATAAGTACTTCCCTGGCAATCGCAAGGGCCTGAGTTCAATCCCTGGTTCCGCAAAAAAATTAAATTAATTCTCAAGACTTAAAAACCTGGAGACCACCCACTCAGGAACCTCCCGCCTGTCCCTCTCTTGGACAGGAGCTTTCTTTCCCTCAATAAATATATTCTGCTCATAACCTCAAAAAAAAAAAAAAAGACTTAAAAATCTTCAAGTCAAGATAAGACTCCTCTAATGGTCAAATTTGAGTACTCAAAAAAAAAAAAAAAAAAAAGAAACAGGAACTCACTGTCTGTCACGAATCTGTCTTCCCAGATGGGAAGCTCTCACTGGCCAGCTATGGAGATTTCTGTTTCTGAGCTTCCCAACACCTACTACTTAGTGACCATCTGCCAAATGCCCATGAAGGGACAGAATTGTGAGTGGGCGTTTCACAGCCTCGCTGGCTTGGTTTAACAAAACACTACCACTGTCTACAACTTCCACTTGTGCCTAATGGAACTGATTCTGGATAGAAGTGGTTGTAGTGGCCTCCATAGGATGTCATCCCACTCCTTAGCCAATGTGGCTGTGCCAAAGTCCTGCTAACAGATTGAAAAAGGGGCTCACAAAGAGCAGTGGCCAGAGTAGAAGTTCCCCAAAAGCGTGCTTTTTGAAGTCTCTTTCCCCTAGTGGTCTTGGCCACTCAATGTGAGGCTCAAGATGTTGGGGAGGCCTGAGTCTAAACAGTCAAGTTCAGGTTTTTAACACATACCAGAACACAGGCTCAGGGGAAGATCAGGAATCTGTTTTATTAGGCAAAATGGAGCTTCCATCCTGTGAGCCCAGGTCCAAGAAAGCAGCTTCACATTTTCCAAGACACCCCATCTGCTCACCTCTCCCCTCCTGACAAAGCCACCACCTGCTGTCAATCCCCAACTTCACTGGCTCAGTATCCTAAGAACAAAGCCCTGGGAGCAGTCATGATGACACAGGAACCCAGGACAAACTCCTGACTCAAGCCCAGAGCACTCAGATCTGATGTCTGCCCTCAAAGTCAGCACTGCCTTAAAAAAAATCTTGTTCTCAGTGTCCAAAAGCTCTGGAACAGACCTCAAGATCTGTGTGTATAGAATAAAGACACAGGAACAAGGACATGAGTACACAGTATATTCAGAACTGAGAGGGCAGCATGCAGAGCTGTGTCAGCTGGACGACAGGAGCCCCACCAAGCACGGTGGGCAGCTGGGCTCCCAGATCTCTCACACCCCACACATGGCAGAAGAGTCGGAAGTGAGGCCACAGGCCACCATCTGGGCAGGCCCTGTCCTCCCATCTGGCCTTGTTTCCTCTTTCTTCTGTCAGACACATTTGGGAAATAGAAGGGCTTCCCTTTCACGTGGATGACAGGATCACAGACGGCCCAGGCACTAGAGGCAGGCAGCTGGGTACCAGGTCCTCGGCCCAACCACGAGAACCGCTGCCCAGTGTTTGAGGCCCCAGCCCACGTGGAGAAACATTACCAAGGAGAACATTGAGGCAGGGACAATTAGGAGTGCAAGCCAACACTCGGTGAACATGACAGAAAAAGACCAAACCTTCCAACCTTCCAGCTTCTGCCTTTTTTTGGTACCAGAAATCAAATTCAGGACCTTGCACTTGCCAGGCAGACACTGCTATATCCCCGCCTGCTCTGCTGTTCTTGCACTGTAGGGAACCTGACTCCCACCAAGCAAGGCCCCGCCTCTGTGCTCCCCGCTCTCAGGGCCGGCCACATCAGTACAGTTTCTCTTTCATGTGAGTCCTCTGGTGCGTGATGAAGTTGGAGCTGTTGCTGAAGCCCTTGCCGCACTCAGGGCACTTGTAGGGCTTCTCGCCCGTGTGAATGCGCTGGTGGATGATGAGCACCGAGTTCCAGCTGAAGCCCTTGCCGCACTCGGGGCAGCGGTAAGGCTTGTCCCCCAGGTGCGCGCGCTGGTGCATGAGCAGGATGGAGCCGCGGCTGAAGCTCTTGCCACACATGAGGCACGGGTAGGGCTTCTCGCCGGTGTGCGTGCGCTGGTGCACCACGAGCTGGGAGCGCTGGCTGAAGCTCTTGCCGCACTCGCCGCACGGGTAGGGCTTCTCGCCCGTGTGCACACGCTGGTGCTTGATGAGGTTGGAACTCCAGCTGAAGCTCTCGCCGCACGTCAGGCACTCGTAGGGCTTCTCGCCCGTGTGCATACCCTGGTGCGCGATGAGGCTGGAGCTCTGGCTGAAGCTCTTGCCGCACACCCCACACTTGTACGGCTTCTCCACCAGGTGGGTCCTGCGGTGCGTGGCCAGGTTGGAGCTGCGGGTGAAGCTCTTGCCGCACTCGCTGCACTGGTAGGGCTTCTCGCCTGTGTGCGTCCTGCGGTGCGTGATGAGCGCCGAGCTCTGGCTGAAGCGCTGCCCGCAGTCCGGGCACTCGTAGGGCTTCTCGCCCGTGTGGATGCGCTGGTGGCGGATCAGGTTGGAGTTGTAGCTAAAGCTCTCGCCGCACTCCTTGCACACGTAGGGCTTCTCACCCGTGTGGATGCCCTGGTGCGTGTTGAGGCTGGAGCGGTTGCTGAAGCTCTTTCCGCACTCGGGGCACGAGTAGGGCTTCTCGCCCGTGTGGGTGCGCTGGTGCGCGATGAGGTTGGGACTGCGGCTAAAGCTCTTGCCACACTGGACGCACTGGAAGGGCTTCTCGCCCGTGTGGATGCGCTGGTGGGTGACGAGATTAGCACTGCGGCTGAAGCTCTTCCCGCAGTCCCTGCACTTGTAGGGCTTCTCCCCAGTGTGCGTCGTCTGGTGGCGGATGAAGTTGGAGCCGTCACTGAAGCTCTTGCCGCACTCATCACATTTGTAGTACTTCTCCCCGGTGTGGGTCCGCTCATGTGTAACCAGGTGCGACTTCCGGCTGAAGGTCTTTCCACACTGGGGACACTCGTAGGGTTTCTCACCCAGGTAGGTGCCCTGCAGACCTATGAGCTGCCCGAGCTCCTGGCCCTGGCCTGGCACCTCCCCTGCATCTTCACTCACAGCGGTGGCTCCCCTGGCCTCCTCCAGGTCGCAGTCTCTCTCAGAGCTGCTGTCCCTACCAAAAAGCTGCGCGCTGTCCCTCTCAGGCATTCCCGAGAGTATTTCAAGCACGTTCGGATTGTAGTTCTCCCCATTCTGTCTCCGCATCTCAAAATCTGAAATGTTGGAGAAAAATAAACAAGGTCCAAAGGCAGTTTTTGTTGTTTTTTTTTAAAATGAAACTTCTGATGAAAACAAACTAGAAAATCCTTAAAACTTTTCAAAAGTAGGTAGGTTTGGAGCTGAGCTATGGCAGAGCCTCTGCTTAGGATCTCGGAGGCTCTGGGTTTCATCCCTTGATAAAGGCAATCAATCAACCCAGGTTTAATAACTGGGTACTTAGCTGTTAGGTTTCTTACCTTTGTGATAATCGCAGTTTTAAAGATTTGTGTTTCGTGTCTTTACCTGTTTCTCCACTGGGAACTGGGGTCATGTGGGAATCTGAAAGCCCTAATTAAAGAACAGGCTGCACCCTGACCATGGTTCTCATGCTTAACAGGTGTTCAATTACATTTGGTAAATGAACAAGAGGGTGTTGAGGGTGTTGTTGTTGTTGTTGTTGTTTTTTTGTATTACTGAGGTATCTCTAAGGCTCAATCCCTCTTTAAAACGTCATAGAATGTTTTGTGTTTAAATGTCTGTTGGTTAAAGCTTTTTTTTTTAAATCCTCCATTAATGGGGATTGAACCCAGGGCCTTCAGTCATGCCCAGCCCTTTTCTATTGGGAAACAAGGTCTTGCTAAGTCACTAAGCTGATTTCACACTGGGCTCCAATTTTTGATCCTCCTGCCTCGGCCTCCCAGAGTGCTGGGACTACAGGTGTGTGCCGTAACACCTAACTACATTTACCTGAAAAATGGGTGTTAGGAGGCCCTGAAGCCAGAAACTGATCATATATGGGAGGGCTGGATGAGGCCTCATTGCCTAAAGCAGTCAAGCTACCTCAGTCTTAAGAACATCCTGCCGGGACAAAGCGCCTGCTTAGGCAAGCACCAGACAGGGGGTGGGAAGGTGGAGGGGAATGCCGCACAGGCCCTGTTCCAAGGCATGCTGAGCTGGCCACTGAGACAGGGCGTGATGGCACATGCCTGTAATCCTGGTGCTGGGGAAGCTGAAAACAGGAGGATCACTATGAATCTGAGCTGTGTAGAGACCCTGTACCAAATACATACAAAAAAAAAAAGTATAACAACATCTTGCCTGGACATTGAGGGCTATTAGTTGCTAGGCAACCTTGTGTCTTGTACTTTGCAAAGGTATAAATAAATGTCCCCACTGTTGTTCTGGGGTCCTTTGCCAATCAGGCATGGTGTACCACATGACCTCAGCTATAATTATCTCATCTTTATTTTCTAAGTCCTCTCACTGTTTTCTCTCAGGGACCACTGAGAGACCAACAAATCCCTACAGATAAGATGGCAGAACATTTGCAATGAGGATCCTAAGGGTTTATATCAAATGCCTGCGAACAAGTCAACAGTGGACAGGGCACTTAGGTCAGTCTGTAGGGGAGTTTATAATACACCTTTCACTGGCACCCTAAAAATGTATCTTCTTTGAACCTGTCAAACTACTGCCAATGTCTGGCAAACATTTGCAAGGAAGAATCTTTAGGAAAGACTGCTGGAACAGTATAGTTCCTTCCTGAGACTCTGGTGTGAAACTAGATCTGCTAGAACAGCAGTAAGCCGGGATCTCACTGTTCCTGAGCCTCATGGGAAGTGTGTCTGCTGAATGGTACTGACTGAATGCTATGGCTGACACTGAATGACACTTGAAAAAACACCAGAAACACAGCTGTCAAAACATTAGTGTTTCCAGGAAGTTGTTGTTGACATTGTTTATACTATATCATGCCCTCTCAGTGAGTCCCAAGAGGAAATTTTCCTCTTGATCTCAATACCAAAGACAGCTGCTGTCCTCAGCAACCTGTGTTTACCTGAGGCCCACAGCTATAGCTCCCTTTTTGCCTAACCTTGGAACCTCACAGTCAAAAGCTCATAAGCTGGGTGTGGTGGCATGTAATCTCAACCTCAGGAGGCTGAGGCAGGAGGCCTTCCGAGAGTTTGAGGCCAGCCTGGACTATGTAACAAGACCTTGTCTCAACAAAAATAAATAAAAAACTATTACAGTAAAAGATACACTGCTATTTATCTTCCTTGTGGTAAACATCAATGCCACCATTCTTGACACTTTCTGGTGCAGTTTATAGAAATTTCTGCCAAATACACCATGGCGTGTCCTCATCCATCTTGTTCACCAGATCTGGCACTGCGCAACTTCTGGCTTTTTTCCAAGGTCAACAATTTGAATCAATTCAGGACACCAAAGAAGCCACAATGCTGCAAGACATGAAAGAAGACTTGCAGAGCTGCTGCAGAAAGTGGTCAGAATGATGGGTTGTGTGTCCGAGGTGAGGGGAGTATGTGAAAAGGATTCGTGGCAATGTATCTTTTACTGTAATAAATTTATTTAAATATTCACTGCATTCTTCTCATCAAACCACATATAGAAACAATGGCATGGTGCCCAGTCCCACTTGGGCAGGGCCTGAGGTAGTCTATGCTTCCTCACCTTTCTGGAAGAGCTTTTTGTTGGTTGGGTACAGTAGTGCACACCTGTAATCCCAGCACTAGGGAGGATGAAGCAGGATTATGATGAACTGCAGACCACCCTGGGCTACTCAGTGAATCCAAGGCCAACCTGAACTACATTGTGAAACACTGCCCTCTCCCCCCCAAAAAAAGTGGTGTTTTGTTTTGTTGTTTTAGAGCACAGATCTCTGCTATCTTCTCTTTTCCATAAAGATTTCCAGGTCAAAGTCACAATTTATTGTCTACCAGCATGTTATCTTGGTCCTGTTGGATCAAAAAATTCTGGGATTTTTTTTTTTAATGTATTTTTATAGGGTCTACAGGGTCTCACTACACAGACTGGACTTGTAGTGATTCTCCTGTTTTCAGCCTCCCAAGCACTGGGATTACAGGTATTCACCACTACACCCAGTCTCAATTGCCATCTTAGTGGGACCCAGGGGCAGGACAGACACAGCAGGCCCAGGGATAGAACCCTGGTCCCTGAGCCTGCCTAAGTAGGCACTCTAATCCACTGAGCTATCTGGCCAGCCTTTTGGGGTGATTCTGATAGCTGTTTTCTTCTGAGCGGTGACATTAGCTAACAAGATCTTTCAGAAACAGGCTGACGTTTCGGTGTGAGCTCAGAAGAACAGGAAAAAGAAGTAAAAATGCAAACTTCATTTTCATTGATGTTAGGAGAAGGATGTAATTCACTGACATCAAAATAGATGGCAGGGCTCCCAAAACAGCACAGATGAGCAGGCACTGAGAAGGGAACTGAAGGGAGCACCCATGTGTTCAGGCAGTGCCCAGAAAGCTCAGGCAGAAAAGCCCTTTGCAAAGCTCCTGGGATCACTACACTGCCAGAGCAGCCCAAGGAGCTGCAGTGAGCAGGCCAGGATGCTCTGGTCCAGAGATGCTGAGGTGAGAGGTGGGAGCTGCAAGTGCAGCAGTGTTTCCCACACAGAGGAGCCACAGATGCAAAAGCACTTCTGCAGTACATGGGAGGAGCCTTTGACACACGTGTCCATCAGAGGACTTCATCACTGAGAAAAAGTGACTTTCCCATGTGTAAACAGGTACATGTAGCAACTGCCTGAGGAAGAGAAAAACGTGACTTGGGGATGAAGGGGAAACAGAAGCAAATGGAAGTACAAGGAAACAAGAAGGTGCTGAAGAGAGCGAAATGAGAATGTGAGGACATGAGCAGAGTGAGAGTTCAAGGGATTCCAAAGCATGTGTTCAGCATATGTAAAGCCCTGGGTTCAATCTTGAGAAGGAGGGAGGGACAGAGAGAGAGGGGGAGATAAGGGAGAGAGGGGGAGAGAGGGAGAGAGAAGGAGAGAGGAAGGGGGAAAGAGAGGGAGGGGGAGAGAGGGAGGGGAGAGAGAGAGAGATGCATAAGCACTTGCCTGGCAAGCACAAGGTCCCATTTGTAGTGCTGCAAAAAGAAGAAAAAAGAAAAGAAAGAAAGGCTGGCCAAGGATATAGCTCAGTTGCGGTGTCTGCCTGGTAAGCACAAAGTCATGAAGATGAGTCCCAAGTACAAAAAAACAAAAACAAAATCAGGGTTTGGCTGGGTGTGGTAGCCCATGCCTACAATCCCAACACTTTGGGAGGCTGAGGCAGGAGGATCATTGAATTTGAGGCCAGTCTGCACTACATGGGAAGAACCTGTCTTTAAAAAGAAAAAAGAATTCATTTGTAAGTCTGGGACTTACAGTACTTGCTATCCCAAGATGAGCATATTTGTGAATGAGACTGGACAGAGACGATACTGCATATATGCATAAGTGGAAGGCCCATGGGCTGGTGAGATGGCTCAGTGGTCTAAAGCACCTACTTAGAACAAGCTTAGCAAAGCACAGGGACTGCGGTTCAACCCCCAGCACCACATGCCAGCCAGCCCCGCCCCCTGGTGGGCTAAGCTGGCCACACACACACACAAATAAATAAATAAAATTTAAAAAATAAAACTGTAAAAAAAAAAAAAAAAAAGTGGAAGGCCCAGATCTCCATCAGAAGAAATTCAGAGTAGTCGGGTATTAAGGAAATGGGCAAGCTGGGCATGGTAGTGCACACCTGTAATCCCAGCACTCAGGAGGTTGACACAGGAGGATTGCTATGAGTTCGAGACCAGCCTGAACCGCAATAGCAAGACCTTGTCTCAAAAATAAAAAAGGACAACAGAGGGTTTTATTTTCTAAATGTTATTAATTCCACACCCCCCAAATTACTGAAACTAGTAAGAATTCAACTTATCTGTGGACCTTAAATAAGAGTTTCAGGTTATCCTGTATAGTTTGAAAGGTGACAAACTCACAACATACGCATTACTCATGCATGGTCCACTGCTGATTTCAACGTATTGTGTTAGGAAGGAACTGAAACAGGGTGACTAAACACAAACAACTGGATGAGTCCTAGAGGTGACATCTGGCCATGACAGGAATGCTCACCAGTTATCTACACAGAATCAATCCATTTTTTAAATTTTATTTATTTTTCAACCCATTTTATTTAGTCAGAGGCTCCTGAAA